TTAGCGATGGGCTCTGCCATCGTCTTTTCATCCTCGGCTGCCTTGAGTTTCCTCTTTAGCTCTTTCACCTCATTCTTCAAAGAGTCGGCCTCAGAGTTGTTCTTCGCCCGGTAGTAGAGCGAGGTGAGCACACGGGTCAGCTGCAGGTAAAAGACACGGGTAGGTCATCGGGTCACACCCCGAAAGGCTGAATAAGACCGGGAAAAGAATGTACCTGTATCAAATCCTGAGCCCCTCGTTCGGAGACCTACAACGCGGTCCAGCTGGTCATGTCGTTTTCGGCCACGATGATGGCGCTCATCTTAGCCAGAGGGTTGCCCAAAGGCTCCACGCCCGCTAGGGTATTCAACAGGGGGGGTCAGGTTTGGAGGGCTCTGTCGGCGGCTACGCTTGGGGGGAGCCTCGGATTCTCAGACCTTCTCCTTGCCCCGCTTGCCAGGCACCTTCACAATCTGTAGATCCGACCTGGTGCTGAGGGTCGCCGCCGTTTGATCCACAAGGGTGGTAGCATCCAGCGGGAGAGCTACGGGCACCTTCGGTATTGACGCCCCAACCGGCTTGGGGTCAGACGCTCCGGCCTTCTTGCCGCCCAGTGCGGCCTTGGGTCGTGGAGCCTTGATGGTCGAGGGCGCCGTCGGGAAACTTCGACCGGCCTTCATACCTGCAGAAACCCGAGTAACTGTCGTTAGAATACTAGTGTGGATGAAAGACCCGTCCATGAGAAAGGGAACGTCAGGATGAGAACCTTCTTCCCTGGGAGCAAATGCGGGCGGCATCGCGGCCACGGTGATATCGATCCGCTGAGGGGTGTACTTCTCGGGTAGGTCGTATTGCGGGGGTTCTAACCGAGCGGCTTTGTACTCGACGGAAGACCGAAAGATTCTGAACTCGTAAAATTCAGATGAGATCTTTTTGGTCGCTTCCTGTAGGGCCTTGGTCGGGTCGGGTTGCTTGCACGTTGTGAAGTGCCGCGACCAAGTCCTTTTGACCTGGAGTTCCCATGGGTACTCGATGGAAACAAGCCGGTTCGTCCAGCCCCAGTTGTTGGCCGAAAGGTGAAGGATGCTGCAATGGTGAGACCGGGACTGAGCCATCAGAAACCCCCCCCCCCCCCCCCCCCCCCGTATGTGGCAGCAAGCGGATGGACCGTGCGGACGAAGTTGAAAAGCTCCATGGAGCTGAAGAGGCCATGCCGAGCGCAGATCTGCGGGAAGCACGCTATAATCCTATGAGTGTTGGGGCAGATCTGACCGGACAGCACGCCATAGTAGTTGAGGAAAGCAAGGAGAAACGGGCTAAAAGGGTAAGTTAGAGGGGTCTTCAGGGAGTCCAAGTGCATCCCGAGCCATAGGCCCTCGGTGCGCTCGATAACAATTCCCTGACACCTGCAGCTGCTAAACTTGACCCGACCGGTCAGGAGGGTTGCCGCCTCTGAGACCTCTCTTTCTGTCATCAGACTCTGATGCTGCTCGGCAGACGAGCTACTCAGAAAGATCTTTTTCTTATTCAGAAAATCTTCCGCTTAGCGCGTGGCCGACCCGGGGGAGAGAGTGGGGTCAATGGCAACCACCATGGTATGGAGTGGCAGACCCTGGCCCTGGTTCCCATACGTTGTGCTCTCCCGTCTGGAAGTCTCGACCGCATCGGCTGTGCCTAGCGACGTCGAAGGCCGGCCGACATCACCAACATCATCATCTCCACCCGACTGTACCGATGCCCGGTCGTCACCACTATCGTCATGGCTTGCCTCTGCATCCTCGCTCGGAGCATTCTCGCCGCCCAACTGTGTAGACGCACGGTTGTCAGTGCTACCGGATCTCCGCGTTCGCAGCTCCTGAGGGCCTGGACAAGGAACCCTCGGTCGTTGTGCTCTCGGATGCATTCTTATCGCCGCTGTCGTAGCCTTGGACCGACTGATTCAGGCTATCGGAGCTTGACATGATCCTGCCCCTAAAAGACGAAGGGGGGAGGATTTCAACGACTAAGCCTAGAACGCCCCAGGCTAAAGGTGATCGTGCCCTAGGGGCCTAAGGTTGCCTTTCCAGCAAAAAAGAGGGAAAAGAAAAGAGAGAGGAGAACAAGAGAGCGGGTACATACCGGTTGAGGTCACTTAGCGGAGATTTTAGCAGATGTTGCTCGTCGTCCTGGAACGTCCACAAGATGCTTAGTGGTGTTGAAAGCGTAATGGGACCCCTGAAACACCCCTATTTATAGGACTGGGAAAGCAACGAAAGACGCTTCAGCGCTTAGGATCCTTTCCGGAATCCCGAAGCCTCCCGCTAAGCGACGCGTGTCCCCCAGTGACAATGAACGGCCCACGACCTATAGTGCAGCGTAAGCCGCGATGCACGCGACCCCAGCCCTGGGAAGTTTGGCCTTAAGCGTGGCTCAAACTAGCTAGAAATTCTGTTGAGAGGGGGGGGGGGGGGGGGGGCAAAACAGTATAGACGGATTCAAAAAAAATTTCCAGTAAAGGCGAAACATTAAAACAAAAGATATAATTTAAAAATAAATAAATAAACTACCTAAGAAATATATTTGTAAATATTGTTGGATATGGACGGAAAATAAAACACATCGAAACTTTATAAAAATATTCATAACAAAATATGAAACATAATTAATAAAAGAATTTGAATAGAAAAGACATTATAAATTACAAATATTATTGTAGAGTGTGTGTGAGATATTAAAAAAGCTATTAAAAAAGAATTGTAAAACTATGTTGATGCTAAGATTAAAACCATTGACCTCATTATTACCAAAGATGTGCTCTACCATCTAATCTAACTCACTTCTTGTTAATATTTTATAGTTTTTAATACTAATACTAAAACATGTATTATATATACATATATACATACAAAGACTATATATGGGGTGGGGGTGGATGAGGGGGGGGGGGGGGGCAGCCGCCCCCTGCCCCCCCCCCCCTCTGGATCCGTCCCTGCTCAAACTCCTCCTCTCCTAATCGTCGGAGTCATGAGCCAGGGGGGCTACTTGATGGGGATATACGCCCGGTCCCTTAGCACCGGTCCTATCCGCCCGGCCCCTCAGCCCGGTCCTTCTGTCCGTCGGTCGTCTTTGGTCATGTACTCGGCCGGGTCGATTGAGGATCTGGCTAGGGGCCCCCGTTTGGCCACTCGCTCGGCCTGGTGTTTAACCGACCAGTCACCCCGAGGGGCTCTGTCCCAATGGGGTAGCAGGTTTTAGTCGCCGCGTGGCAGCCCGGCACTCGGCCTCCTCGATGACCGATGCATGTTCGCCACGTGGTGTCGATGCCGAAAACCCGGAGTCTGCCCCCTTTTTCCCTTATAAATAGCGCATTAAATGCTACTAGGAGGAGACTTTTGGATGTTGGTTGGACCGAAGCTTCCCGACCCACTGTTAGAACCCGAGCTTCAACCTAAGCCAGTATACGTACTTACACCCGTATATACCTTATCATTCACCATGCGCATGGTGAACACGTTTTCACATCATAACTATTATTGATTTTGTTTAAATCAACGTCCATGATTACCCAAATTTTGAAATTCCTGGACGTTGATTTAAGCAAAATCAATGGCTCTCCTCTCACTGCACAACCGCACCTAGGCACACACCAATCGCATTTGAACCTAATTCTATATATATATATATATATATATATATATATATATATATATATATATATAAAATATAAATGAAATATGGATTTATTTTAGAGAAAATAATCCCAACAAACTATCTAGTATGAAACTAGCACAAAGGGATTTAACTTTTAGAATATTAATCCCAACCAAATTAAAGCTTGCCATGTAACAATTGCTATGTGTACCCTGATTAAATAATTAAGCCTGCTCCAAAATAATCATTATACTATGAACTATGGTCTATCTTGTAAGGTGGATCATTGGCTTAATGTATATTTTTAATATACTAAATGTACATTTTTAATAAAGTAAATGTTCAATTTTTGAAAGTTCATTATTTGATACTAAAGATTCATTAATTGATATCAAATAATAAATCTTCATTATTTGCTCAGAATGAATATTTTCATTTGATGTTATTTTCATAAATATTCAAACACAAAAAAAAAAAAAATTGAAAAATGATTTTCGAAAATCTTTTTCTGAGTTTCTAGACACTAAATTGGCGCTCCACAATCAGCCCTTTCAATTGGAGCATCAATCATTATGGTGCGAACCACGGTAAAAAACACATAAAATACATTATTCTAACTCATAAAATACATTATTCTAATACATAAAGTACATTTTTCTAACTTATAAAATACATTATTCTAATACATAGAGTACATTATTCTTACTCATAAAATACATTATTTGATCTTACCCAAAAATTTCATTATTTTAACACATATTATATTATACATTATCCTGACTCATAAAATACATTATTCTAACTTATAAAATATGTTATCTTACCCCATAAATTTCATTATTCCAACACATAAATTACATTATTTAACTCATAAAATACATTATCTTACAATAGAGTGTTCATTATTCTAATACGTGTGTGAAAAAAGAATTTTATTTTTGAATATCAAGACTACGTTGTTTTGAACCGTGGTCTACATAACGATAAATTATATCGTGCACTAGGGCGCACAATGCATTGTGCGCCCTAGCAAAAAACGACGTCGTTTTGTACCTTTTTTTTTTTTTTAATTATGTTTTTAGTGTCTGGTGTTAATTTCTTAAAAAAAAAAATTCATGTTTCGAATGTACATATAATATAATGGAATGTATATAATTGTATAAAAGAATACACGTACTCTTTTATGAAAGGATAATACACAAAATTAAACATAATACTCCGTACATAATACACATGATGAGTTGGAAAAGGATGATTCAATTCAAACTGAAACTTGTTACAGAGATACAATAAGAATAGATCCCTAAACTATAGGCTATTGAATAGAGCAACAATTCTAAGCCACATAATAAATATTAAATACAAACTTATACTAACACTCCCCCGCAAGCTCAAGGGTGACCAGCTGTAACATTGAGCTTGTCCCGAAGGATAGCAAACCGGGCAGCTGGAAGCGGTTTGGTGAAGATGTCGGCCACCTGATCCTTCGTAGAGACAAAAGAAACCTTGTATTCCCCGGATGTAACCTTATCGAGGACAAAGTGATAATCCACCTCAACATGCTTTGTACGAGCATGAAACATAGGATTCGCACAGAGATAGGTGGCCCCTAGGTTATCGCACCATAGAGTAGCTGGTGCGCCGGAGTGTAAGCCAAGCTCACGTAGAAGAGACACAACCCAGGTAACCTCGGCGCAGACATCGGCTAGGCCCTTATACTCGGCTTCAGTGGACGAGCGGGCTACAGTGCGCTGCTTACGAGAGACCCACGAGACCAAGTTCGACCCTATAAACACAGCGTAACCACTGGTGGACTTCCGATCAACTGGACAGCCGGCCCAATCCGAATCTGAAAAGGCATGGATATCTGTAGACAGAGATGGCGAGAGACGCAAGCCGTAGTCCATTGTGCCTCGGATGTATCGAAGGACACGCTTGAGCAGGCCCCAGTGCTCATCGGTAGGCGCATGCATGAACTGACACAGCCGATTGACAGAGTAGGAGAGATTCGGACGCGTGATCGTGAGATATTGCAACGCCCCAGCTAGACGTTGATATTGTGTCGGATTATCAAAGGGGTCGGTTGACTGGCTAACTGCTTGAGTGACAGACGCTGGTGTAGCTAGCGGTTTGCAGTCAGACATTCCGGCACGATTGAGAATATCCCGTATGTAGCGACGCTGAGACAAAAGAATCCCTTCCGGTGTAGACAGAGTTTCAATACCAAGGAAAAAGGTAGGAACCCCTAAATCCCGGATCTTGAAGGTGGTGGCAAGCCGCTGTAGTAGAGAGTCAACTAGGGCAGAATCATCGCCCATCATGATGATGTCATCCACATAAACTAGCAAGAACACACGGGATGTGCCTGCCGTATAGTGGAAAAGAGAGACATCCGTTTTGGACGCCACAAAACCTGTCTGTAACAAAAACTCATGCAAACGGTTAAACCACGCTCGCGGAGCCTGCTTTAGGCCATAGAGAGATCGCTGCAAGTGGCAGACATGATCCGGATTATCCGGGTCCTCATACCCCGGAGGTTGCCGCATATAAACAGTTTCAGCTAATCGGCCATTCAAAAAGGCGTTGTGGACATCTAACTGGCGTAGAGTCCAGCCACGAGAGACAGCGTATGCCAACAGTATACGGACAGTAGTAGGCTTAATGTAACACCCCAGATTTTCAAGACATTTTAAGCTTATATAATAAAGGTAATATCTCATTACATCCCAAAGTATATCATAAGTGTACGGGGTGCTATGCCACACCTGGGCTAGAGAATCCAGGTGCACAGGCTGTCTAACTAATAACCATTGAAACACAATGCATAATATGGCACGCAGGCCGAAAGGGAAACTACTCTACTTCTACGCTCCAGTTCTAGCGCGCTCCAGTGCTCTAGTCCTCTGTGCCTGAAAGCCAAATATATCTGTTCAGCGAGTGATGCTGGTAACCCACTCCAACGCGTTGAAATACAATACATATAGAGATATATATATAGATATACGAAAACCATTATGAGCATGAAGATGTATCCTACGAACTCTAGCTTTTAAAACCGGGAATGACTCAACAGTTAAGGCTAGACGCCAGCAGTAGACATAGCAAGCATAAGCATTTCACAATAGATAAAACAGTTACAACAAGGCATAAACGGTAATCATAATCCCATCATAAACAATCCCCAATATGAAACCCCTAGTCACATCCCAAGGCACTCATAGTCACAACTCGTCCATATCACACACATAACACACATTGTTGGCGCCACGGGACCGATCGCATGCCCATACATGAGGGTCAGCGCATATAGCTCTGACACAGCCCCGCAGCACCATGCCCCGTATCGCAACACGGGGAGGTCGATCGCAACCGACCGATGAACCGCAGCTCATCATAATGTTTGATCGCAACCAAACAGTGGACCGCAGCCCAAGAGAGTGTCATCTGACCGCAGCCAGGATAAAGGACGAACCGCAGCTCGTATAGAAACGTTTGATCGCAACAAAACGGTGGACCGCAGCCCAAGAGAGTGTCATCTGACCGCAGCCAGGATAAAGGACGAACCGCAGCTCGTATAGAAACGTTTGATCGCAACCAAACGGTGGACCGCAGCCCAAGAGAACGTCATCTGACCGCAGCCAGGAATACCAATCTGACCGCAGCCAGCTTCTGAACCGCAGCTCAGGATAACCAATCCGATCGCAACCGAATTGGGGTGGCACACACACATAACACATAGCAAGCACATGCAACCCACGTTTACACATTGGGAAGGGGGTAAAGCATATAACAAACCTATGCGTGATCCATCACATACTAAGAGTAGTCCTAAGGGGTTCATACTTCCTTCACCTAGGTCAATAGGATACCAATTCATCTAGCATGCGATATAACAGACTTATAAACCTACGAACGGTACCCGAAACATCAAACTAGACATAGGCACGACAAACGGGGTCCGTTGGGACACCACGGGGATCGGGGAAACATCGAACGGGGAAGCTGAGGTCCCGGGTGAGGTGAGATTCCAGCGGGTAGCCGGTGGGTGGGGGTCCACCCGCCGGCTGCCCGCCGGCTGTCACTGTTCCGGGCAGCGGGTGCCCGGCGGGCAGCTGCCCGCCCGCCGGCTGCCCGCTACCGGAGCTACCCGAGATTGCCGCGGGTAGGTGGCGGGTCCCCTACCCCCCCACTGACTCTTTTCATCACTTTTCGCCCCGGGAACCGTTGTGGAACCCGAAACCATGCTTAGACACTTTTCAACGTAATTAACGACAACACATAGACAATTAACGGATCAAATACGATAGACGAACGGCACATAACCTAACATGCTTTTCTAATCATAATCAACACCCAAACATGCGATTTCCCACCCGATAATCCAAGAATAAGATCATACGATACAACCTAGGGTTCTAATCACTTTTATATCAACAAGAATACGGTTCGTCTTCTAATTGCAAGATTCGGTAGGAACAACACATAAGCATCAAGGGCATCATACAATTATCAAGAACAACACATAATCATCAAGAACTCCATATAATCATCAAGAACATCATAATTATCAAGAATCTCCCAATATCAAGATTATCAAGATCCCCCATGGGATCATCACATCAATCATCAATCATAATCATCACAAGTCATTAATACACAATAATATGGGGAAATCCTATGGGGGAAATCGTAGCTACGAAAATAGGTTTTGTTGAGACATGGGTTACCTCTTAGCCTTAATTAGTTCCTTGGCTATGAAGGGTCTTTCTTTAAGCTTCCTTGTTTTCTTGCTTTCTTCTAAGGGGATTCTTGGAGTTCTCCTGGGGAGGTGGGGCGTTTAGGCGTGTGGGGAGTTCTAGGTGTCTCCTAAGTCCCTTATTTATATATTTAGGAGTCCTAATTAGGAACTAATATTATAGGCTTGCTAATTCTATTCCTTTCGGAACTAAGGATTGGATTTATATATGAGGGCCCATGGACTACGGTGGGCCTTTTTCCCTAATTGATCATTATGATTTATTCCTTCTCTTGGGCTTATTGATTGATTAATTAAATGGTTTTAGGGGCCGTAACACGGGGTGTTACACTCTTCCCCCCTTTACAAGGGCTTCGTCCCCGAAGCCCGGTGTTATAGTCCACCCTTTCACCCCTAGACACCTTGTAGCTCGGCCTCCTGATTAGGGTTGCGGCCTTACGTTTGTCTTGGCTTGGGGTAGGCTGAACTTTTGATGGTGTTGTGATAGGGAAGTTTTCGGTTGTACCTCGGTTTCCTGCGCTGGAACTGGGTGCACCGCGAGTGCCCAAGGCGGCCTCGATCGCTGCTACCCTTTGATTGAGTGCGTGTGTGGTGCGGATAAGGGATGAGAACCCTTCTTCCATGATTTGATTCTGTCGGTCGAGCTGTGCGAGTATGCGTTCGTTGACCGAACCCTCGTCTCGCCCCCTCGGGTTCCCTCCTGGCTGTGGGTGCACTGACGGGTTAGGCCCGTCTTCCTCCTCTTGTCCTTCATTTTCTTCCGTGCCTCCGCAATCTTCCATGGCCCGCTTGAGCTTTTTGTTGGAGATGTCCAACCGATCAACCAATTCCCTACGTTCCTCATCGGGTTTGTGGCAGATTTCTTCGAGGGTGAGATAGTGTCCTCCTTCGATGAAGTAGATGTCGTTGCGGCGGAGGTTTTGGGCATTGAAAACCATGCCATTGGCGGTTTTGACCTCGGTGTGGCTTAGGTCTACCCCCTTTTTCTCCATGATCCAACTTAGGATCATCCCGTAAGGTAGGCTAAGCCGGTTGTTTGTTTTGCAGAACTCTATGTGCTTTATCATGAGTCCCGGCAGGTTGAACTTGATTTTATGTTTTAGGAGATACGCAAAGGTGCACTCCAAGCTTCCCACATCCTTGCTCTTGTTATTGGTGGGCAAGAGGCTATCGGTTACAATCATAACCAATATCTTTTGCTCCGCCGATAGCCATTTCCGGTTTGGTCGGGTGGCCGAGGTGAACCCATCCTCTTTCCCGAGTAAGTACCCGAGGTAGTCCTTGTACCCCGTGGTTGGGGTGTCAATCCACCCTTTCCGGTCATAGTTAGACACACCCGTGGTGGTCAGTTTCAAGAGCTTGGCCAAGCGACCCTCGGAAAGCACAATTTCCTTGCCACGGACCTTGGTGGCAATTTCTACCTTGTCACCTCGTTTGGTGGCCACAAGGTGTTGGTAGAACTCTTTTACCAAGTCGGGGTATGTGTCCCCTTTGATGGCGAGATAAGTATCTAAAAGCCCTTGATGTTTAAGCATGTCAACCAATTCCGGAGAGAATTGGTCGGGTTCGAGTGCTTTACCTCCGATTACGGTGTAATCGGCATTGCTCCACTCCAGGGTGCGGATTCCGAGAGGCTTCTTTGGCATGGTGCCGATCGTTTGTTGGTGGCGTTTTCCGGCGGCTCCTTTTTCCGGCACGGCGGCGACGGCGGCTTTCCGGCGGGTCTCCGGCGATAGTTTCTCGCTCGCTTTCACGGAAGGCGCCGGCGAGCGGAGTTTCCGGCGTCGATTCGGCGAGGGAAGGCGACGGCGAGCTGGTGGCGGCAGCAGTCTCCGAGGTGGTGTCGAATGGTGGTGGCAGCGGGTTGGAGCTGGGCATCCACCGGGTGGAGAGGGGTGGCCGGTCTCGGGCGATGGTGCGGCGTCGCGGGCTGGCGGTCGTGCGTCGGACGGCGACGGCGTGTGACTGGGCGGCGTCGCGGGGTTGCGGTGTGTCTACGGTGGTCGGCCGGTGAGAGTTTTAGGCGGGGCGTGAGAGAGAGAAGAGAGGGGTTGGGTGATTTGGGGAAGAAGGAGAAGGGTTTATGATTTGGGGATTTTATGGGTTTTAGGGGTTTGGAGGGGTTTATCAAGAGGGTGTTCCCTTGTGGTTTCAAGAAACACACATGGGCTAGTGGTTAAGAACTTAGCTTTATAAGTGGGAGGTTTAAAGTTCAATCCCCATTGGCAACATTAGGCATTTCTTGGTGGTGTGGCCCTTCTTTGTCTTTTTCCTTATTTCGTCTTTTAGTGGGGAAAGGGGTGGATTGGTGGCATAACTTGTGTTTTACCCTCGTAGTGGAATCGGAATTTGAATGAAAAGGAATCTTTATTCATAATACTTTCTAAGTAGCTAAGCTAAGTAGACATAATGCTCCCGAAGTAATTAAACTAAATAAGTGGTCTATACGATACAGGGGGTGGTTACAAGGGGGTGATGGCTTATCCTAGACAGAATTCGCTTCCGGGGTTTTCTTCGGCGGGGTCTGTATGGTCCTCGTCTTCAGGGATTGGGTTTTCCCCTCCTAGGCCTTCTTCGTTTCCGAGGTCGGCTTGCGTTTGGCTCATGACGAATACTTTTCCGGGAGCGCCGTAGCCCCCTTGGTTACCGGTACCCCCGTGTTGGCCCGTGGTGGTGGGACGCGGTCTTTGGGGCCGAGTGCATTGGAAGGCCTTGTGTCCTTCCTCTCCGCAGTTGAAGCATCGCCAGGGGTTGCCTGCGCAGTCCTTGCCTCTGTGACTTTTGTTGCGT